TGAAGAACAAAACGACAGCAACTTGTCTGTTCCCCTTCCCCCAACTCCCCAGCACTGTTCCTATCCCCCGAATTCCCCAATAAAAATCTTAAAAAAAAAAAAAGAAACGATTCTGAGAAAAATATCAGCGACTGCAAAGTAAACAAAGATGTTAACGCAATTAAAGAAGATGGTAGACAAGGAGGAAAGGCAAAGATAATCAAACATAAGGATAATAGCAGTCCATAAAGTTGACATTGAAATGTATCTATCTAACAGAGAGAAAAATCCATGTCAATTTCCCTGGAATGAAGGAAGAACTATTGGAAATACTGTCTCATGTGATAGCTTAGTTTCCTCACTTTAGTTTCTTCTTCCTGATACATTGTGTAACATTAAATATAATCATTTTAATGCCATAAATAGTATGATCCCATCCTCTTAAATATTTCTTCTTTCTATGGGTGTCTGGCTACCCATTTTTCCTCTATATATAGAGGTACAGAGAAGTGTAAGTCATCCAGTGAGGGGGGAGAGGCAGAGTTGACTTTCTTGCTTACCCTTCTGTATTGTTTGAATTTTTAATAGTAAACACATGTAACTTTCACTTAATAAAATGCAGTCATTAATTTAAAAAATTTAAAGCTACATCAGCGAATATGCTAACATAAATAAAGAATGGCAATACTAATATCAAACAAAAATGGAATTAAGGCAAACACATTATAAGGAACAAAGAGCTATATCTCATGTTGATAAAAAGTCCACCTCACCAAGAAAACATAATATTCATGAATACTGTACCTAATAACATAGCTTTGACATATATATATATATATATATATATATATGGCAAAAATAGAACACAATGAAAGTCTGATGAAATACAAGTATACAGGAAGATAGATTTTTAACACATCTATCTCAGAAATCAACCTCTGTGAAGGTGACAAAAATAAGTAAGAATGTATATTATTTAAACAACACAGTTAACAAACTTGATCTAACAGGTATATGTAGAATTTTGTATGCCACAAACAGAATACACATTTTTTTCCAAACACACTAAACATCCTAAAAAGTATGAACGTTTATTAGGCCAAGAAATCTCAACAAATTTTCCCACCTCATCCCCCCAAAAAACCCACACAAAAGCAAAACAAACACCAGACAGCACATAAACCACATTCACTCACCATCATAAAAAAGTAATAACAAAAGCGCTCATTGAAAGAGTTCTCCTGGAAACACAGTGGTTTCAGGGAAAGAACACAGCTCTTGATGTCAGACCATCAGCCACTTACCAGAGTTTTGTAACTTTGAAAAGTCCCTTAACCTCCCTAGGCCTCAGTTTCTTCACAGTAAAGTAGGGATAAGAAAAGAACCTTCCTGTGGGGGTTTTGGGAAGATTAAACTCAATAAATGTGAGTTCGTTGGAAACATGTTAACTAAGTTTCTCCAAAAAGTATAGATGCAAAACATCATGGCTGATAGCAGTTCACAAATCCAGGAGGTAAACTGAGGCACCAGGCGGTCCATTCAGAGTATAGTCACCAAAGCTTGATGATTACCCACCCCCCCTCACCCCCAGGACAAGGGTCTTACCTCCACAGCTCACGCAGGCTGTGCACCGGTTGTTCTTGTCCAAGTAGTAGTCCGGGTCACAGCAGTCAAATGAGCCCTGTGGGCACGGCCGCTTCGGGAAATGCCCTGGAAAAAGAAGTAGAGAAGCTCCAGGCCTGGCCACCTCGGCAAAGACCTCACCTCCCCACCGTCCGCCTCTCATCTCTGAAGCCCTTCCCAGCAACACCTCTAGACCCCCAAACATGGCGGTGCAACTCTTCTGTGTTATAGATGGAGATATTGATGCCCAAGAGGGCAGACCTTGCCTAAGGTCACCTGGGCAGGCAGAAGCAGCAGCATGGGTCAGGGGGAAGACCTGGGCATGGGGTTCCAGGGCTGCCACATGCCAACGGCATGGCCTTGGGCAAGTTACAATGACCTCGTGGGCACTCTTCAGTTAAAATAATAGGATGCACCTCCTAGGTTTGTTGGACGGATTAAAGGGATCATAAAGATAAACAGGTGTAAAGCCCTACAGCAGCCCTTAGCACACAGCAGGCACTGGCTGAGCACTGGTTGTTATTCCTGGCAGGACCCTGCTGCACTGTTGGAACTGGGGAGCCATAGTCCCTAGACCATTGGGAGCCTAATCCAGAGGCCCAAAAATCACCCAGCAGTCCCCGACTCCTAGTGTACAGGGGTGGGAGAAGCATGACGTTGAGACCGAATGTGTGGGGCAAAAGGGTGGGGCGTCCTGCGACGAGCACATGACCCAGACAGGCCAATCAGAGTACATCTCCCTCAACACTGTGATTGGTTCATGGACACGTGACCCATGCCTGCCATGGAGCGTCATCTCTGCGAGTTTCACAAAAGCTACCAGGAAAGAGCCCCTCTCTTTATGTTGGCTTTCAGGCTGAAAGGGCAGTGTAAGCCCAGAGCTGCCAGGTCATAGCCACTGCGGCGTGGGCGGGGCGTGGGCGGGGTGTGGGCGGGGCCCACTTGAGAAGGAGACAACTCAAGAGGCCTCAGAGGCAGAGAAATGGACTCCCGATGACATCATTCAAACCTGAATTGATGGTGCCATGGACTTCTCTGTCATTGGGCCAATTATTTCTCTTTTGTCTTGTTTGGGCCTAAGTGAGTTAGGCTTCCGTTAGTTACAACCCAAAGAATCTAGACCAGGGATTCTCAACATTTCTTGTGCCCTTAGTCATTTGGGGGAAATTTGTGGACACTGTTCAGAATCATGTTTTTAAGGGCATCAAATAAAATACATAGGATTACAAAGGAACCCAGCTGTGTTGGAACCCAGTTATTAAAGCATTAAACAATAATTTAAGATAACAGTAATATGTGTGATTTTTGTAAACTCATTAAATAAGACCTAATAACTACCATACTTTAAAAGTAGTGATGAGGACAAACAGCATTTCATGATACCTGCAGCAATTGTAATATAATTGTAATATAATATGAGACTATCTGATTTCTACTGATGGAGAAGCTGCAGGTACTTCTATTACTTCTGTGCTTTGCTGCCTTAATCCATAATGGAAGGAGTTCATAAAGGAAATTTAGTATGAAAATAAGTGAACTCATTCAGGCACACGGCCCCCCTAAAATCTACCTGGGGAGTCCATGAGCCCCAAGGTAAGAGCCCCTGCTCTAAAATCGCATGCAAGTTGCTCTCAAAAATACCAGCTTGATGGCTGGTACCCTCTAGCTCAGAAGACTTCAGTAGCTCCCCCGTGGTCTTTCGGAGGGATAAATCTGATGCCATCACCCCTCGCCTAAAACTTTCAAAGGCTTCTTGTGGCTCCCAGGATAGAGGCCTAGGTCCTTACCATGGTTAGCGAGGTTCTGCCCCCCTGTCTCCCCCTTGCTCTCTAATCTCTAACCATACTAGGGCTCCCTGTTCCCCAAAGGGCCATGCTCCCTTCTGCCCCCAGGGCCTTTGCACGAGCTGGTCTTCTCCCAGGAACGCTCCTCTCCCTTTTCCCCTAGTAAACGCCCACTCAGCCTTCACATTGCAGTGGAGACATCACTTCTTCAGCAACTTGGTCAGGACCACTGTTACAAACCATCAGAGACCTGGGTACCTCGCCCCCCTGCAGCCAACTCTGTTGTAATCTCACAATTATTTGTGGGCTAAATGGTGTCTAAGTGTCTGAATTCTCCCATGGGAAGGTCACCTCTTCCAGGATGGGTCTTTCCATTTCTGCTCACCCTATCACTGTGCCTGGCACATATTTCATCAATACCTGTCCTGACAACTTAATCAACAGACCCCATCCGCCTGGCACTCCTGGGCCTCACTTTGTGTCCAGACTCCTGGTCTGGTATTGTTGTATATCACTCACTGCCTACACTCTATGCTTCCATCAACCTGGGCACATTGGTCTTTTCTCTGGCACCCCTTCATGTGTCCAGGAATGTTGGTATGGGTTGAATTATGTCACCCTCAAAAAGATATGCTGAAGTCCTAACTCCTAGTATCTCAGAATGTGATTTTATTTGACCATAGGGCCCTTGCAGAGGTACTCAAGTTAAAATGAGGTCATTAGGGTGGGCCCTAATCCAATATGACTGGTGTCTTTATAAAAAGGGGGAAATTTGGATACAGAGACAGGCACGCACATAGGGAAACGGTCCTGTGAAGATTGTAGTCATGCTGCCACAAGCCAAAGAACCACCAGAAGATAGGAGAGAGGCCAGAACCTCCCCTAGAGCCTTGAGAGGGAGCGTGGCTCTGCCAACACATTGACCTTGGACTTTTAGCCTCTAGAACTGAGACAATTAATTTCTATAGCTTAAGACACTCAGTTTGTGGTACTTTGTTAACAGCAGCCCTAGGAAACTAATACAAATGTTCTTTGCCCAGACCAAAATACTCCTCCATCTCCACGTCTACCCGCTGGGAACCTTCGCATCCAGCCAGGTCAGCCTCATGGAACTTTCCTGATCACCTGACGCCATCCAGATCCCCTGTTTTGGGCCCCTTTTTAAAATCACTTCTCAGTGCCAGGGCCTGTCCTGGGCTGGACTTTAGAAACCCTCTTCTTCAGAAAATACATTCAAGGGCTCAGTGTGACTAATTTGGTGGCGGGATTGTTTTTTCACTCAACTGAGTTACTGAGCATCACCTTTGTGCCGGAGCTGCTCCCATCAAAGCTTACTCTCTAGCCTGGGGAAGAAAGGCAAGCAAGTCAAGAAAGAAATTAGCAAGTTGGTTGCCAATGTGGGCACAAGCTGAAGAAAACAAAGCAGCTAAGACAGGGAAAGGCCGCGAAGAATGGAGAAAGATCTCTAGAGAGTGTGGGCTGGTGGCTGGCCTCGCTGAGTCCAAGAGGACTGAAGAAGGCAGCCGCACAGAGGTTGGGGACAGCAGTCCAGGCAGAGGGCACTGCTCGTGCAAAGGCCCCGAGGGAGGAACACGCGTGGCTTGTGCAAAGAACAAAAAGGCCACGGGGGCTGGAGCAGAAGGAACAGAATTATGAGTGTTTATTCTTTTCTCTTTTCTCCTTCTCCCAACTGCCACAGGGATCTCCTCCACCGAGTATCACTTTCATAATCAGAAACAAAAATGGTTAAGAAAGGTTTCTGAGTTGTGGTGGGGCTCTTAGAACTGGTTCCCAAGTGTCCCTCTGCCCTGACCTTCCTCCGGCCACACTCTACCACCCCCAGTCTCTGATCAGCACCTTATCAGCTCCAGATGTTCTCAAGTTTGTCCTAACATTCCTGTCGCTGCCTCTCACCTCTGGCTCAGCATCAGGGTGGTCAGGCCACCCAGCCCCAGCTGCTTTGGCCCAGAAACTGCCCTCACGGAGCCTGAGCCACCAGCCCCTCCATCCTCCCCTCCCCCCTTCCCCTTCAAACCCTGTGCCCATTCTTACTCACTCCAGGCCTTGGCATATTCTGTGCCCTCTAACCAGAGCAAACCCCCTCCCCACCTTGGCCTGGCACACTTCTGCTCATCCTTAGGATGCCTTTGGATGCCAACTCCTCAAGGAAGCCTCCCCTGAACGCTCCAACTAGGAACAGGAGCGTGTTCCCATGGCTCCCAGCAGCACGGCCCCGGATTCTAATGGCCTGTTGCAGCAGACACGTTTGTGGAAGGGCTTCCCAGCCCACAGACTTCCCTTCTTGGAGAGCTATCCCACCCCTTCCCCCAGCAGTGGTCCAGGGCAGTCCTGGCCTTGGGGAACCAGAGCAGAGGTGGACATCGGGACTTATTTGAGCCATCACAGGTTTTCTTCTTGGCTTTGAAATTGGGGCTGAAAGATGTTTGTCCAGCGTCCCTCCTGTTGCCTGAAGGAGAGCCGCAGTCTGGGGAGGGGGCCAAGCTTGGCCAAGGGCAGGGAGGGCAGGGGAGGCCTCTTCCTCCTCCTTCCTGCTCGCAGCCCTTGGAGAAACCCTTAGCTCCTGGCACAAGACGGGACACATCCACCTGGCCCCAAACCAACCATGGTCTCCAGCTAACACCAGGCCTGGGGAGGCCTTGCACGTCTGTGGGGAGACCCCTTCCTACGGGGAGTGAGGGAGGGCATCCAGGAAGCAGGGTGCAGACTAGCGAGGGGTTTGTAGCCCCCGCATAGGCTCTTGTCTGATATGTTCTGAGGCCTCCCAAATGCAATGCCTTGGGGGTCAGTAGCAAATAAGACTGAAGGGTTGGGGGTTCAGAGTTAGACGGCCACGTTCAAGGCCCTCCTCCCACCCTGAGCCACTTACTAGCACGGGATCATGGGCAAATCCCTGACCCCTGGCATGTCCAAGTTTCCACTCTCAGTTTCCTATCTGGGTTCAGCGGGCGGATGGGTAGGTAAAGGGCTCAGCTCTGTGGCTGACACGAAGCATGCTCCATCACTGTTCATCGCTGCCGTTGTTAAGAAACAGTGAGTGAGCTCCCTGTCACTGAGAGTGTGTAAGCAGAGGGCTGAGGGTCAGCTGTCAAAGATGCTACAAAGGGCCTTACAGGCCTGGGTGAGAGGAGGGATTCGAGACACCTAAACTCAGTCTCAAAGGCCTCCCAGTTTCCTTCCTCCACCAACCCGCCCCCGTGCAAACCCTGCCGCACAGCTGAGTGATAATGGCAGAGGGCGGGCAGAATGTCAGAAATTTCCCCAAGAGACCCAGGAAGGGGTTTTTGTGGGTTTTTCGTTTTTCCTCTCTTGCCTGCCCAGAAGCACAGGGTCAATAAAACTCCACCAAAATGCCCCGCCCACCACAGCAGCATGAGGCACTCAGCCACCCCTAACCCTAGTCACTGGGCCTTGGAGAAGGAACATGGGGGGAAGGGAGCCCCCTCTTCGCAGTCATCGCATCTAAGTGGAGGGAGCCTGCAACCAGGATGTCACTCTCTCTCTCAAGTTCCCACCAGGCTGGGGTTGAGGGGGCTGGAGGATGTGGGAAGGATGTGTCTGTCTGCCTCCCTGCCGCTGGGATTGTGGGTCTTATGGAAAGCCACAGCACTCCAGAGCCCCGGCTGCCGTTGGCCTGGAGAGAAGCAGTGGGCCGCCAGCCACAGAGCACTGGGCTGGTGTGGGAAGGCTTTCTGGAGGAAGGGGTGCCAGAACTGCGGAGGGTGGAGACGGTGGGGGAGGGCATCCCAGGGGCCAACAGCCATGTACAAAGGCCCAGGGACTTGAAAGCACACAGTAGGTTCAGAGGACACCAAGCACAGCAGTTCCTGTAGGGAGACCAAGGGAGGAAAAGCTGGAACGGTGACAAGTGGCCTCACTTTTAGAAGGAGCAATTAACAATTGTTGGACAGATGGGTGGAAGAATAGGTGATAAGGGGGATGGAAGAGGAGTGGGTAGATGAGGGTGGATGGGAAGACAGACGGGAGAGGGATGGGAGGGGGACGGTGTATGAACTGAACGGTGTCCCCCACAACTTCATATGTTGAAGCCCTAACCCTCAATGTGACTGTACCTGGAGACAGGGCTTTTAGGAAGTAATTAAGGTTAAATGAGGTCATAAGAGTGGTGCCCTGGTCTGACAGGGTTGGTGGCCTTATAAGAAGAAGACAAATCAATCTCTCTCTCTCTCTCCTCCCCTCTCCTCCCCTCCCCCCCACCATGAGAAGGCACCTGTCTGAAAGCCAAAAAGAGATGTGTCACCAGAAACCAACCCTGCCGGCACCTTGATCTTCGACTTGTAGCCTCCAGAACTGCGAGAAAACAAATGTCTGTTGTTTAAGCCCCGCAGTCTGTTTTGCTAGGGCAACCTGAGCAGACTGAGACGGATGGGGAGACGGATGGGGGATGAGTGGCTGAAAGAACGGGAAAGCAGATGGGAGGGGGAGGCGGTGGATCTGAGGAGATGGGAGGAGGGCAGGGTAGGTGAGTTAGTGAGTGGATGGAAGGATAGCCAGGTGAACAGGCAGGTACATGGGTGGGTGGCTGGCCAGTTAGACACTGAAGTCTCGAGGACCAAAATCAGCACAGGGACCCACCTGGTGCACACTTCAGAATCAACACTCGACCGCAAAACCAAGGCGAGAAAGTCCAGTAAAGTTCTAGTTTATTTCCCTATAATGACTACTGAGTGAATAACTAATGAATCACTTTTAGGAATAGAAAACATCAAATTCTTACCCAAAAAGTTTCTCTGGGTCCTTTGGTGGCCAAGCATGGGCTCGCTCAGTCCTCAGAGGCCACAGTTCTACGAACAGACTGACCGGGGTTCCTGCCCTGCCCCGCTCCAGCCACATACCCTTAGTAATCCTGTGTATCGGTGGCCTGTCACCACCCTCCAGACAGCAATGCTGGGAGGCTTAGAGGATTCATAGGTGGGCACCCTCCCTATCCTGAAGACCCACACCCACTTCCAAGGACCTTCTGTCCTCAAAGCAGGAGGCAGTTATGATGAACTGGTCACATCCAGTCCTCACACCCTCCATGGGTGTAACTAACATCTTTCCTCACCCATCAGTCTTCGTTGCCAGATCTCAGCTTTATCTCAGGCCCCGCCCAGGCAAGGCCACCGGAGGCACCTCGGGACTTTGGATGATAACCACAGAGGATGGCAACGCCTCTTGCCCTGTTCTACCTGCTCACCTGCTCCAGCCTGAGCATCACCGCAAAGTGGGAAGAACAAGGCACACCCCTGTTCCAGAAAGACTTCTGATAACCTGCTTGGAGCCAATCACTGTGCAGAAAGCGAGCTCCAGCCAGCAAGACTGGTCCCCGAGAGATCTACAGCCCAGGCAGCCCGGGGACAAACACATATTCAGGGCTGGAGAGGATGAGGACTTCAAAGGGTGTCCAGACATGAGGGGTGGTCAGGGGTGTCGATAGCTGCCCAGGCTCGGGTCACGGAACCCTGAACTCCTGCCTCAGCCAGTTCTGCCATATCCCAGTGCTGTACCCTTGGGCATCCCAAGTTGCTTAACCTTGCAGCATCCCAATAGCCTCATCTGCAAAACGGGGATCATAAAGGATAATTATGAGGCTCTGATGAGATGATGCAACGCACATGACAGTCTCAGGCTGGTATCTATTGGGTTGTCGGAAAAGTCATGACACATTTTTGCAACGAAAAACAGAAAAATGCGTCATGACTTTTCCGACAACCCAGTACATAGTACGTGTTCAATAAGGGGCAGCTTTTAATGAAAAACAAACACTCACAGGGTGAGGGCCTTCAGAACCTGTAGTCAACATGATGATGTGGGCTCCCATCTTTCCCACTCCCCAGTCCTCCCTTCTCCCCAGCCCCGGCATCCGACTCACCTGTGGGGCAGCGGTAACAGCACTTTCCAGCATCCTTGTCATAGTAGTGCCCAGGGTCTCTGGCACAGGCATCCGCGGGGGCTCGATTCTGGAGGGTGGGACAAATTGGTGAGGCTGGATGAGACACACATCATCCCTCCAGGCCCTCAGGTCCCAGGAGGCCCGGTCTCCTCCACTCACTGTCAAGGCCACGTCTGAGACCAGGCTTCATTTTACAGAAGAGATTTCACATCTCCCTCAAACCTGCTGCAGCCCTCCATAATTCAGGCCCAAACCTTGGAGACTCTCTTGACTCTTTATCTCATGCTCACATCCAACCCAGTCAGCAAGTTCTCCCAGCCCCTCTGCACCAGTTTCCCCACCTCCTGAGCCTGGTTCCTGGTCCCATCCCCCCTCCCTTGGATTAATTCAGTTGCCTCCTACTTGGCCTCTGGCACAGGCCCGTGATACCAATTTCTGCTAAATGTGTTTGTTAGGTTTCGTTTGGGTCCATGGTGTGAAGCAGGGTCAAGACACTTTTTTTCAGGAATATGCAGTTTTCACAGCTCGCCCATGTGTTTCCAGGGCTCTTGGAAAGTTAAGCCTGTTTGTTAGAAGGGGTTCAAGAGAGGAAAGCCTCTGCTGAGAGCCTGAAGGAGTTTCTGTCCTTCCTGGTGGATGAAAGGGGAGCTTGAGACAGGTTTCTGGGCAGACCCCTAACAAGAAGCCCCAGGAAAGGAAGGGTATGCGGGAGGGGAGCAGAGAGGTCAGGAAGCAGCAGCGCCCCACTTCTATATCTCAGCCTCTGAGATGGTGCCTGGGACAGGAGGTGACCACTCGTGGGATGAAAGGGGTGGTGGGGTTTTCTCGGTTTGGAGGAGGAAAGCAGAAGCCATTTACCCCCCGAGGAAAGGCCTGGCTGGCCGAAGGGGCTTCTCTACTCTTTTCTCCACTCAAGGGAACCGGAAAAGTTAATAAAACTTTCTGTTATGGTCAGAGAGCAGAGGACCGTTGTAGCTGAAAGGGAGACACATGGAGTGTGGATTACATTCTTTTTATCTTTTTTTGCACCTCTGAAACGTCACCGCATACATTTGAAAAAGGAAGTATAACCTGACCTCTCTGCACACCACCAGTCGCATGGCATTGTTTTCACCCACACACACCCCGCAGGAGCGCATTGTTCTCAAGTGAACCAGGGGTTTCCTGGGGTCCTCTCCAGGGACAGAGGCCTGCCAGGACAACCTGACGGTGACCCGCATTATCGCACCAAGTGAGCTCAGAAGCCTACCGGTGGGGTGGGCTGAGGGTGTGAGGATTCAGCCCCGTTGGGCCTGCTGAGTATGGGGGAAATTCTGGGTGCTTGGCTTGGGTTTTTCCCACCTGGCCTGTCTGTTCATCTCATTGATAGCTATGGACTCCCCAGGGCCTGGGGGACAGACAAAGGGTGCCCGGCTGCTTACCCTTCACCTCCTGCCACCACACCCTGAGTCAATGGAGGGGTAGAAGGCGCAGAGAAAAAGAGGAAACCCATGTTACTGTGTGTCACTTTCCCGGAGTCACACACCTCCTCCTTTATGCCACCCCCAGCCCTTTGGGGCCAGATCACCACCCCATGTTATAGGTAGGGAAACTGCAGCTCAGAGAGGTACAATCACCCAGCAACTAAGTGTAAAGAGGAGATTTGCGCTTCACTGGGTCCCCAGTTCTCTCCCCATCTCTGGGCCATAAGCTGCCCATCTTTAAAATAAAAGAGGTCCAATGTGCTGACAAGGACGTATCACATTTGCGGTCTTCCTACCAACGGTCCATAATCTGAACCAAATCATGAGGAAACCAGATAAAGCCAAACTGAGAGCCTTTCTACAAAAACAAACAAAACAAAACTGGCCTGGACTCTTTAAAAATGCCAATGCATGCAAGACAAAGAAGAGCTGCAGAATATTCCAGAATAAAGAAGACTAATGAGACAGGACAACTGAATGCAATGTCTGGATTGGATCCTGAATCGGGGTAAGAAAGAAGATTTTGGTGTAAAGGAGAACATTGAGGCACTGATGAAATTTGAATATGGACTTTATGTCTGATTATGTTCTACTGATGTTGACTGTCTGAATTTGATGACTTTTTATGTCAGAGATACCCTTGTTACAGAAGAAACATGCTGAAATATTTAGGGGTACAGGATCAAAATGTCTGCAACTAACTTGCAAATGGCTGAGCAAAATAAAATAGTAATAACAATAATAAGTGTATACATAGAGAGATAAATAAAGCTATTGTACAAGACAACATGTGTAAATAATACTAGAGTGTCTCAGGAAAAAGACGGCAGGCAGCTCAAAAATAAATCTGTGTACGTCCAAGGTTTGCCACCAGGGGGCGCTATCTTCTTGCTGTTCGGAGGCGCGGAGGGTTCTCTGCCAGGATGCCCAGCTGGAGCCCACATGAGCCCCACAAAGGAAGGGTAGAGGACTGGGGTCCTCCGTCCCCACATGGGGCATATGGGGTAAAGGGATAGCCCCCCTAATCCTATGGAGGTGCTGGACCCCATCTCTCCCAGCTAGTCCCAGAGATGTAGGTGGGGTCCAGGTCAGGGCCCAGCTCAGCCCCATCCCCCCAGCATCCACCCCAGATATCCCCAGGCCGCTACAGCTGGCGTTCTTCGGCAGAGACAGTGGCAAATGTTTTGTTTGTTTGTTTTGTTTTGTTTTTGTTTTTGTTGCCTATGATGTCATCGTCTTACAAGCGCCCAGGAAATGGGGTCAATGCAATGCATTCATGTTATAGAAGTAACAACAAGTTATTGACCCCACAGCCTATAAGACCCTATTCCCGTGGAAGCTGAACAGTGAAAGACCTGCCCAAGATCACACCTTGTGGCAGGGTCAGGAGCTGAGTCCAGGTCAGCTGACTCTTGCCCACCCCAGGAGCACATCAAGCACCGACTGTGTGCCAGAGAGCTGCATGGGCCCCCAGAGTGCCCTCCAGGAGCTGTCACCCCAGTGCGGAAGACAACCCCACCTTCCCAGGCCATCCCTAGCCCATAAGTAGAAAGAGGTGGCATCTGGGGACCTGAGCGTCACCCTCGCGACATTGTCTGTGGTCCCAAAAGCTAGCTCAGCCTCACGGCCCAGGCACAGCCCTCACCCCGGCCCCATTCACCACATTGCCTTTGCCACCGCTCCCATCTTTCCCACTGCCCTCCTGCTGCCCCCCACTACCCATTCACACAGGCCCTTCACCCACCCCAGCTCCTGGCAGAGAAGG